CCAAGGTAGTAAAGACCCAGCCACAGTAAGAAAAGACCAGAAATATGCCCCCCCATTAAGAGTGTGGCATGCATCTCTCTGCCCAGGTACCCAGCAAGTTCTCAGCAGACACATGGAAAGCTGAGCACAAGCTGGGGCTTCCACGCTGGAGTTTGGGCACCTGCCCTAACATGACTGGTCCTCCTGCAATTGTCCATGCACAGATAATCTGTGGCAAATATTATAGTCTGGGGTGACTTGCCAGGATGTTTCTGTACCTCAAAGCCTCCGGCAGCAGCTGTCAGAGGGAATGCAGATGGATTTTAATATTAGCCTATGTCAAAAATAATTAGGAGGGTAAATCTTTAGCCACGAGGAGAAAGAGATCATGTGTGCATTCCAGGCCAAATGGTTTCGTGCATAATCTGCATGGGCCTCAGGGAGGAGGCTCTAGAGATGCACACATGTGCCATCCTGGCCCTGCCAGTCAAGCTGGCAGCTACACACATCATCTCATTAGGTCCTTACTAACACCATGTGGGAGTGTCACCATTTGCATGTCACATTGGAATGAAGCTTTAAAAAGCAAAACTGAAAACTGGGCATGGTAGCACATGTCTGCCAGGCCAATACCTAGGAAGCTAAGGAAGGAGGATTGGCCCCCATGGCCTACCGTACCAAGACCCCGTATCACAAAAATAAAGTGTGTATTCTTATTGACCTCCCACCACCCCAACAGAATAGTCTAGGAACTAAGAAAGAGAAGTCAGGGAATGGAGCTACCTACCCTTTCATGGGGATGTCCCTGTTGCTCCCCAGGAAACTTCCATCTCAGACTTCCAGGGCAGCAGCCCTGTAGACTACCAGGTTCACAGAACAGCAGAGAGACAGAGGAGGGAGAGAGAGAGTGTACATGTGCATGCACATGATCATACATGCATGTGTGTATCCATGTACACGCATGCGTATGTATGTGCACTCGTGTACGTGTGTGTACATGTGTGGGTGCTGGTGTTGCTGTCTGAGCTCCTAGGTCCAGCCAGGCCTTTTGAGACAATCCTACCCTAGGAGTTTTCAACTTCAGGAGCCTCAAATTCAAGCACATTTGGCTGTTTCTTTGGGAATGCATCACTGTGAGTCCCTGCTTTTCAGAGAAGCACTGCCACTCTGCCCAGCGGAGTGCCCAAGCACTCTCTGGATTCTCTGAGAGTGTGTGTGCTCCCCTTTCACATGGGCCCACGTCCTGACGCTGATTCCACTTTAGGGACATTGACAGAGGAATCGAGGAACCAGACAAGGAAGAAACAGAGAAGGGAAGAAGCTGCCCACAAATGGGCACAATCTCGTCTCCATGCTCAGAGGCCTGAATGAACTGAGGGGACATCGGGAGTGTGGGCAGGAACCCTGGGGGAGGAGAGAGAAGAATGAGCCTGCTGAGGGCAGAACACTCTGTGTACTTCCCCTCTGCCAGTCCCCCCCCCCCCCCCCCCAATGTGAAAGCCCATGAGGGGAAGGGCATAAATGTCATCAAAATATTTCTATGAAATTCACAAAAATTCAATTAAATTATTTTTTAAGTAACACACATATACTGTATGGCCCCCCCCCCCCCCCCCCCCCCCCGCCAATGTGAAAGCCCATAGAAGGGACCAGCTTTCACTGAGAGCCAGCTAAACCTCCCTGGGATGGCCAAGGCAGAATCTCCTCAGTCCATGCTGCGCTTTCATGGAGAACAGATGGGAAATCAACCAGGTGAAGTTCACTCAGTGGGAGCAGCTTCAGGATGCTGGGGGCCATGGGGTGGCTTGAGGAGCAGGCAGAGGAGCCAGGGTGGTTGTCTTCTGTTCCCTGCAGGGCCCCCCCCCCCCCGCCCCAGACTTCAGGCAATGCCAGCCAGTCTGGTGGACGTTATCTACGCTGTAGGGCTGAACAGAACTCCCTGTGGTCACTTCTTGAAAAGTCCTGACCCCCAGCCCCCATCAGTCAGGCAACTCTACCTGGATGGCCAGCAGAGGTCTCTACTTGGCATCGTAGACCAGATGCCCTCCAGGCTGACTCCTATCACCCAGGCTCCTCTGTGTCCTTTTACAGACACCAAGCTCCTGTGGGCTCCATGTCAGTAGCTTTACTAGGTGGAACAGGACCAACAGGCTAATAGATTCTGAAGAACTGACTTTCTACAGAAGATGCCAAGTGTGCACTGGGGGTCAGTAGATACTTCAGAAGGAAGTACACCAGGACACTGGGTGGGGCAGAGACAGCCTCAGAAGAAGGCTGCAAGGGGACCCCAAGGATATGACTGAGTCAGAGCGAGCCCACCATGGGCAGGATACCCTTGGATGCAGCAATGCCCAGCAGGATGGCATAGCACTCAGGGCATAAGTCCAAGAGCCACATGGGATTGGAAGTGAATGAAGGGCTGCCCCTCCTGGCCCTGGATCCCCAGAATGAGGGTCCCTCTCCTCCTCCCCACCCTGCCATACATGCCCAGCCGGCTTGGAACCTCTGATGTTTACTCTGTTCTTCCCCAAGTTCAAAAGGAGCTCGCAGCCCTGCACACCGAGCAGGCCTTAATCTCCCGCTGCACTCCCAGCTGGCCAGTTAAGGCAGCTAAGACTCAGGATTAGGGGCGGCTTTACAGAACAACCCAGAAGCCAAAGCCCTCTTCTCCTGGGACGACCAGAGACTCCTTTTCATCTTCACGCCTCACATGGCCCTTTTTCTCCCTTAAACAGCTCTCCAGCCGCCAAGAGGCAATGAACTTGGCCAACAGGAAGACAAAGGCGACATTCAGGACCTGGCATGTTTCTCTTCTCTTCTCTTCTCTTCTCTCCTCTCCTCTCCTCTCCTCTCCTCTCCTCTCCTCTCCTCTCCTCCCCTCCCCTCCCCTCTCTCTTCTTTGTTTTCTCTTTCCTTTCTCTCTCTCTCTCTCTCTCTCTCTCTCTCTCTCTCTCTCTCCTCTCTCTCCCCCCCACCAGGCCAAAAGCACAGAAGTATGCCACAGCCCCAGGTTCAGCAAGTGGATGGCCGTGTGGTCAGGTCTCAGAGGCACCTGCCATGCCCATTCTGCAATGCTCAATCCCTGACCTGGTGTGGGCAGGATTAGGCCATTGCACCAAGTGTGGCAGGAGAACACCAGGTGGGCACTGGGCCCAGGGGCCCTCTAAGACTCTCAAGGAACAAATGAACAGGAAGGCATCTATGACCCACACTTGTGTGTCCCCATCATTGCTACTGTTTTCACTTTTAAATTTTCTCACTAGTTTTCAATCTCATAAGGAACACACAACTACATTCTTCTTGGAAAAGGTACAACATTCATTTTAAATAATGCTGCCACCCACTATTTCTGTTCTCCATGCCCTCTCTGACCAAGATTATTGTCTCTGGAGGCCTCTGTTCATATGCTAATTCACATGTGGGGTTGCAGGGAAACAGGGCTGCCTAAAGACTCACAATCACACAGTCCCCAGCTCCCAGAAATCTGTTCTTGTGTGAGCTTTGATTTAAAGAGTGGGGCTGAGAACCTGACCAGCAACCTAGCCTACACCTTCACTGGGAAACTGGGCCAGGCTGGTGGCACCCAATCCTGTCCCCCTTCCCACTATGTCTGAATACTATGGCTGATCAGAGCAAGTGTTACCAACTGTTTCCCTATCAGGAGCAAGTCCTCGGGCCCTTGTACCTATCCCAGCCCCTACCCAAAGCACCTGTAAGTGCTGTCCCCAGGGAAGTTGGTCCTCCCCACAAGAAACCCACATCTTCTGAATGCCCAGAGAATTCAACTCTTCTTCACCACTCATCACAGAGTGAAAGCAGGCCCAGAGTGGGAGCTGCCCAGAATGCTCAGCAAGTGACTCTGAACTGAAGGAGCAGGGCCACAGCCCACGTCATGCCGGTCTACAGGAAGACATCTCATGTGAAGTCAATTACACCAGTTTAGACTGAGCCCCACACAGAAATTCCAAGGGTTTGGGATCTAATGAAGGATCCCATAAGCAAAAGACAGAAAGACAGGTGGAGATGGGGAGCTGAGCAGATAGACAAGGGATGAGTGCATGGGTGATGGACAAATGACTAAAAGAAAGGAGGTGAAGGATGGGTGACAGGTGGCTGGTGACACATGAGGGCAGGTGGGAAGATAAATGGGTAGCAGCAGAGGAGGTAGATGAATGAACAGGGAGCAGATGAAAGATGGGATGGATCAATGGATGGACGGGAGGGTGAGCGGGAGGACGGATGGGCATGCCATTGATTCATGAAGGAGTGGCTACATGATGACAAGTGAGTGACGGGTGGCCAAGTAGACAGAGATGGGTGGGTGGGTGGAGCTGAATGGACAGTGAGTGAGTGGTAGATGCAGCAGAGACAACTGGAGAAGAAACCTGCCTGTACATTCTCATATGAATGAGAAATGAACCCATGGATGGAAAGGGTGTAAGGCCTGTATAACTGGAGTGAGGTCACTTGGGTCCGTACCACACCCTACAGATCTCACCTGGCTCCTAGATCTCTAGGCACCAGATGCCAGCAATGGGGCCAAGGATGACAGCGGAGGCCTGGGGATCCCAGAGGGCGATGACACTCAGAGACACTGAGGCCCTCGTGCCAGGCGCAGACCCACAGCCAACAAGCTTGAGAGCAGCCTGCAGCATGGTTACGACTTCCTGTCCCTAGGACACTTGTCCCTTGGTTTGGTGTCAGCTGATACTGAAGCAAACCTTGCTAGATACTTGGGTCCCCAGTCTGCCTCCCATGTTGGGGAGGCTGACCAGGAACCTCCTCAAACTGCATATCTCTACATGTGTCATGTACATTAGGAGATAGCTCAAGTGAACCTGGGATCTGGGACCCTGGATAGAGTCTGGGGGCCTCTAGTTATAATGCTAGATGGGGCCACAGTCCTCAAGCAGCCCCTGACATTCTTTGGATCCCAAGGCATCTGTGAGTGGGTCCTGCCTCCCCCTTCTGGGCTCCGTGGGCCTCTGTGACAAGGGCAGAGCCACTCTAGACTCGCATACCTTCTAGTTGGAAGTCGTCCTCGTCCTCCTCACCAAGCGCCTCTCTAGAAGTGTCACCCACGAGCTCCTGGGGAAGACAGGGCAGGATGTTATACAACAGTGGGCCCAGCAAGAGCCCACCTAGCTAGACTGAACAGGTAGGAGTGAAGACATGAGACCAAGTACATGTGAGAGCGCACACCGCACTGGGAAATACTGCTCAGGACCCATATCTCCTAGAGGTCAAGTCCCCTCTCCCACTTGGATGACAGACAAGAATCCCTTACCCTTCCTGCCATAGCTGTAGAGCCAGAAAAGCCCCAAAGAGAGACTTCAGTCTCGATTCTTCCTCCAATCAAGGTGGGGCACTCTGTGCTCTCTAGCAGGTTCCTATTACCCTCGATGCCAAATGCAATGCCTTCACCAACACCCAGGACCTGCAAGCCCTGCCCCTTGCTCAGGCCCCCATGTCCTGTGCATGCCCTAGCTCCCTGGCCACTAGCCTGATCCTGGCACTTGTCTTGCCTGGATCCTCCAGTGAGTTGACAGTGTCTGAATTCGATGTTGCAGGGGCTTCTGGCAGACTTGTCAAACTGTCATCAGAGTCTGTCAATGTTGGCAAGGGATGTTTTGTTGATCCACATGGTAGGATATGTCTGAGATGTCAGGAGACTAAAGCCCTACTATCTGACCCACTTTGGAAAATACTCCTCTCTGGGGAACAGGGGAGGTTGGGGAGAGAGAGCTGTGCCACATTCTCTCTTGTAATGCTACAGCAATGTTCTGGCAGTACCTCTCAATCCCAGGGAATGGTAAGCAATGAAAAGTCCAAACACAGCAACTGCTGCCTACATCCCTTTGTGAAAATAAAACCGTTACCTTGGCAAAAACAAAAACACAAACCATCTAACTACACACACACACACACACACACACACACACACACACACACACACACACACACACACACACACACACACAAAATTAAAGAACAGCCAGGCTCACCTTGATGGCTCACAGGGAAAGGACACTCACTACACACAGCAGGTAACCCTCTGGTCAGGGCTGTAGAGTGGCTTCTCATCTCAACTTTTGTTTTAGAGACAAACAGCTCCCTGTCTGCAGGCTGCTGGCCAGACCATGCAAGATTCTTCTTCTTCACGGTGGTTGAAACATGGCTGTCCCTGTTCTGGTGTCCCATTTACTTCAAAACTTGGTGACTTTCTTCCCTCCCCTCCTCTGCCAATTATCATGATCACTGAACATTTCCCAGGCTTGTAACCTGGCTGTTTGTGGTAAGAGAGCCAGAGTTCACAGGGAAGCTGGAGATGGTAACAAGAAAGGGACACACGCAGGTGGCATCATCAGATGGCAGGGACACCCCAGCAGTCAATTAATGCCTGGCTTTCATGCCAGAGACGACTACCATCTCCCCAGCTCTGAAAGGCTGGCAGGCACACTTCCTAACGGGAGCAGCCACAGGCATTTAGGGGACATAGCCTTTTCATGCTAGATCCTCCAGCTCAGCACCAGCCTCAGCTGCTCTGACAACACCAGAGCAAGGCCACCAGCCATGATGAGCCTTTGAGGCCCTGTGACTTTCTACTGGCACTGTTCCCATGTTACCCCGCAGGGCAGTCAGGGAAGTCCTCTACTGACATTCACCATCATCACTATGAGGGGTGGATCCAGCATTCCCTCTGGAGGCCTCAGCTCAACAAAGCACCTACTTTGTAATACACTGTAAATGCTCCCTGGGACCATGGCCAGCCAAGGCACATAACCATCTTGTATGTCAGGCCACAGCCCAGGGTCTATGGTACATGGTGCCCAGGGGTCCCACAGTTTAGGTCAGTAGACCCAGGGCAACATGAGACGATAAGCCAACCCAGGATCATGCCTTGATTCCTGGGCCCTCCTTGCATTTGGACTTGTATACTTGTCTATAAAATGAGTCCAGAAAAAAACACACTATAGTGAAACAGAAGGGTACACACTAGACACTCCCTGCATGGAAGGCATGATGTTCTCATAAGCAAAATAAATTCCTCTGGCCATCACAACAGACCTGCTTGGTCCATCTCTCAAAGAATGAATGGTTTTCAAACATCAAGGTGAAAGTGTGAACATTCCTATTGCAGGGCTCCAGTCCTCAAGGGCTGTGGGACAGGAAACAAGGCCACTGGCAGCAGCAGGGGCAGAGGGCTTGTCTAGAGCGCACACAGCAGGGAGCTCCAGGAACACCACTGCAAAAGGAAGGGCGCAGGGCCCTCCCCACTGTTTACCAAGTACTCCTGGAACGTGGGCACTCAGGTGGATCCTTGCCTTAACTCTAGAGGAAGTTCCCATCACCCCCAGGTTTAAATGAGGCTAGGTAGCCCAGGGACACTTCAGACCACTGCTGGGGTCCAGAGCTGTGCAGCAAACAATAAAGTGTTCCACCAGAAGCCAGGTATAGTGGCACACATCTCAAAAGCTATAGGCAACAGAATAATGAGTTTGAGGCCAGCCTGGGTTACACAGTGAGATCCTGTCTTAATGTAAAAGTACATGAAATGGCCTAGTCAGCAGCTCCAGCGCAGAGGCCAAGAGCCCCAGTCTGCACAACACAGCTCCTCCCTCCCTGCAATGTAGGCTTAGTCCTGTCTCCAACCTGGTCATGTGGCCTGTCCACACAACCACAGACCTGTAGCATCCTTCTGCAGGAAGGCAGGCGCTGCTGGAGCTGGACATTCAGATCTGACAGCTGCCATGAGCCCCATGAAGCCTGCAAGGGAGGGGACAGAGTGGGCAGGCCTGGGTACAAACAAAGCTTGCCCCACAAGCTGAACCTGGGAGGAACAGTTCTACTTCCTGTGTGCCTTGTTTCCCCTCCATAGATGAACTCACAGTACAAGGTCTCAGGGTAGCTCTGAGGAGCAAGTACTCAGACATGAGGCAGTGCTGGGACAGGGCCTGACAGATCAGTAGTTACTGCTTACTGCTTCCTGAACTCTCAACATCAAAGAGCTACCCGCACAAGTCAGGAGATGCTGAGACGCACCAGCAACCTTCCCATGGCAAACACTGTGAAGTATGTTATTATTATACCCACTTTACAGAAGAGAAAACCAAGGCACAGAGCAGTTAAGTGAGTTGTTAATGCCACACAGTTCTTTGGGGGCAGGGGATTTCCTTTTATTTGAGACAAGGTCTCCCTGTAGCCACAGCTGGCTTAGAAATCCCTATGTAGACCAAGCTGGCCTCGATTTCATGGAGATTTGCCTGTCTCTGCCTCCCGAGTGCTGGCTCCAACTCCACACAGTTCTTAAGTACCAGAGCCAGAGCCTGCCCCTCACCACTGTACCTCCTTATAAGAGGGCTGAGTGTGGGGTTTGGACTGCAGTCCACTTCATCATTCTTTACTCAGCCATCACTCTGGCCCTTGGGGACCCAGGGTCTAGGTTCCCTCTCTTCTGGACTCCAGAACTGTAGACTTTAGTCCTGCTTTGAGTTCTGATTAAGACCAGAGGCCTGGCTTGGTAGTAGTCTCTTAGGACATGTGGCCTCCATGTGCCTCCCTCCCAAGTCGCAGCACTGTCCCTCTGCTGGCCCCCAAGAGCCTGGCTTCTGCCCCTTGCTGGGCCCCAGGAAGAGCAGTTCCTCTGGGCACTGGTGTGTGGCTGGCTCAGCCCTGAGCCCAGCAGCAGCACAGGCACACTGCCTTAAAAGGCCTCTGGGACGGAAAACCACATCAAAGCGAGGCCTTCGGGAGTGCTGGCACAGGCTAGGGATTTTCCTCTTTGTCTTTGGGGCTTCATACTCCTGAACTCAGTCTCCCCCACCCATGGCCCCAGCAGGTCTGTGTCAATCTTTCTGTTCTCTAAGAGCTAACAGATGTGGGTACACGCAGTTTCCAAGCAAACTCTTGGTGCCCACGGAACACAGCACCACGTAGATTCCAGGATTGTACCGGGTGGTGATACTCCGGGAGGAGAGAGCACAGCTCAGGCCACCCTGGAACCATCACTTCCAAGAAGCTTGTCCTAGCTGGCCCGAGAAATGCCTGGCTAACTCTTTCTTCCCTGCCCTCTACAAAGAAGCAGCCCAGCCTGACTGAGAGCAAGTGCTGATTTCTACTGTCCCTCCTGGGAGGCAGGACAGGGCCATCCATGCTCCAGGGCCCAGGTGGACCCAGCATAGGACCCCAGGCCCTCTTCGCAGCTGAATGGAAGCAAATGTGTCACTAAACTTCTCTGCTCCTATTTTCCTACTCTGTAAAACGGGGTCTTGGATATCAGAGGGGCCAAGGAGAAGGTATGGTCAAAAGGCCTGCTGACATCTGTTACAAAGCCAGGGCCCTAATGCCAGCTTCTCTGATCCTTCCCACATGCCCTCCTCTCATACATGCTTGTGAATATTCTTACAGTCCATCTTGACAATCACCTAGTACCAAGCAATTCCACTTAAGAGCCCATCTAAGTTCAATGACATCTAGGGCTAAGAGTCATCCCCCAAAGGCCAGTAAAGGATGCTGTGCTGGTTCTCTACAGTGGAGCAGCACACAGTGATACAAAGAGTGCAGTGGATTCATCTGTCCTGCCACACAGAACATGCACCATAAGAGGAGCCAAGGACGGACCCATCTGTCCTGCCATGCACATCACACCGAGACAGTAAGGGAGCTCATGCAGGGGACATGGTGCCACTACTGTGCACTTTAGGAAACTGACTGCACGAGGGACTGTGAGGTGCTCAGCAGGCAGGAGAGTGTGTGGAAAAAAATGCCCCTGGTCACTCACAGGAAGGGGAAGGAGACACAGGGCCTCAGTCAGAAAGCCCAGCCTTGTCAGAATCCTAACACTTAACAGATAACAGTGGTCCCTCAGGATCTACAGGGACTGGTCCCAGAACCCATGGGACACCCAAATCCTCAGACTCTGATGTCCCTTAGATAAAACAGTGTAGTATTTTTTACAGGACCTGAGAATCTCCCTCATAGTCTTTAAGCCATCTCTTAGATGGGGAGCAGAGCACGCAGCCTGTGGGCCACAAGTCTGGATGTGGCTGTTAGGTGCTGGACAAATATGCCAAATGTCTACTGGATGG